AATACCTTTTTGTAATTATTATAATATTATATAGAGACAAATATTACCAAATATTAACTGTAAAATATTTAGAACATGTTCTCTATACGACTTAAAATACTAATATCAAGTGGTTCAGAAATATCTTTGCGCAAATAGAGAAAAACGGAAGGAAGAAATACTTTTAGAGGGAAACTATCGAAAAAACGCATGTCAAGAAATCTTGCGGATTTGCACGCAACTTTATCTGTTACAAAACGCATCTTTTACTCCAAACGCGAAGATTTTTACGAAACGCAAGATTTGGGAGGAAATCAGATACGCGGGATAGCTCACTCTCGATCTGCACGATCGCGATGTTTGAAAAAAGACTTCGCCAACGGCTGTTGTATTTTTCCATCGAATAAACGTCTCTCACTTTCGTGCGTTCAACGCAAGATTTCGTCAAATCGACGGTTTCGTATTTGAAAGGTCGATTGCTTGCGACCGAAATCGTTTCTTGTCGATACCAGGTGAATTCGCATGATTGAACGCGGTTATAGAGGAAAGAATTATCAATGTAAGATGAAAGAAGGTCTATTTTATCCTTTGAAACACGATGATTCCATCTTTGTAATCGCTATTAATAATAGATTCTTTAAATTCTCAATCAATTTTTTGGCGAAAAATTGGTGAAAAAATAATCTAGTTCTAAAATTATCCAATATTAAAGTAACTATTTTTATGTATATTAAAGCTCTTTTTTAAAGCATTTTTACCAAGCAAAACTTTATTAAGTAACAACAACTTTTTTAGTTAAATTCGAATAGATAAAATTATTGAATACTTATTAATCGAAATTGTATTGTAGAAATCTATTGGGATTTTAACTCGTGATGACGTCACGCGCCCAATATGGCCGCCTCGATAAGGACGTACATCTCACAATTAGTCACAAATATCTCACAAATATCTTTGATACTTAAACGCATCTTCGAAGAATTACTTAATTAATACTAATAAGCACAAAAGGTTGTAGCCTTAGGTTATACGTCACAGCAGTGTCCTTATCGAGGTGGCCATACTGGGCGTGTGACGTCACGAGTTAAAATCCCAATACATCTGTTTTCAATTTAAAAATAATATGGAATCTGCAATACGTTTTCTTCTTGTGCAAGCTGTAATAAAGAAAAGAAATTGAGATTCCCCTTTTATAACTATACGTTCAGTCATGTTCTGAGGCAAAACGACGGTTGCATTAAGTAACATTATAAAAGAGAAATTCAAAATGCGATTACAAATGTCCCGAAAACGATGAGACATGGTAGAGGAGCTTACAAAATGCGAAATAATATAAGGAAATCTTTTAATATCGCTGTCGATTCTTTTATACGTCATACAAAATCGGTAACTAAAAAAGAAACAGGAACACAGATAGCGACGACAATTCCTCATACGTACAGCTACTTTGCTTCCCCCCCCCTTTTTTCATCTCCCTCACAAAACAATTCAATAATCGCCGCGTCGCGATCGCGGAGGTATCTCGGAGGATACGGAAAACGCTTTTGAGGGGACGAGAGAGACTCGTTAAAAGTTGCACGGCTCGTTTGAGATCTATCTCGTTCGCCTCGGCGTTTTCTTCTTCGTTTTTATCTGGTTTTTTTTTCTTTTTCGGGTCTTCAACGCTGCGCATAAAAATGCGAGATAAGCCCGGCGCTGCGGGGCGCACGCTGCCTCAGCCGTCGGCGGAATTGCAAGTTTCAATTTGCGAGAGAAACGGAAGATGCCTCGTACTGCGCGGGGCGGTTACATCAACGTCATGCACGCCACGATATCGTTTGTTTAATGCAGCGCAGCCGCGGGGCTCCCACCAGGCAATAGTTTAATGTAACCGGCTAGCGCAACCAACTTACGAATTTCTATTTATTCTGCGAAACGGCGCGGTAAACTTTCCCGGGGTTAAAAGTAGAACGGGTGGAAACGCGATGCCTACACGTTCCTTCGATTCAAGATACGCTTGAAGATATATATCTCATGTAGTTCTTTGTGTGCGCCAGTCGAAAAAGACGTCCTGAACTTGTAACCGACTTCTTTACAAGAGCAACTTCAAAAGCCGCGCGGTCACGTTTTCTTCATAATGTGGGTTTGAGGAAAAATTCTGTCAAAAAGGTCAGCACAAATCTCCGCGATATAAATAGATCGCGTCCAATATAACTTTTCAACTTTCAATAAATTTTAACGGAGATTTCGTATTCAACATTAATTTCCTACTTTCTAACAAAAAAAGCTTTGAAAGATACAGAGGTGTGTGTGGTGTGTGTGTGCGTGTGTGTGTGTGTGTGTGTGTGTGTGTGTGTGTGTGTGGGTGTGTGGGTATGTGTGTGTGTGTGTGGGTGTGGGTGTGTGTGTGTGTGTGTGTGTGTGGATAGGTGACAATTGGTTGTGAAATGCGGATGGGTGGGTAGGTGTATGTGCGCATACTACTCAGTATGAGGCATTCCCGCCCCTTCGGCGTATCACCTCAAGCAGTTTATTCCTCATACTGATACATCTACTGATTTCATCTTGAGGAATTTCCTGCCAAATCTCTTGAAGAATTCTTTCGAGTTCTGCGAGCGTCGTTGGCTGTCTTGGATAATCTCTCAATCGACGA